AGTATCCCATATTTCAGTGTCAGTTTGCTCCACTTTGAATTCAGCTCCTTGCTAAACATGCCTGAGAAAGCAGCAGAGGATGGCCCAAATGCCTGGGCCCCTGCCAACTATGTGGGAGACTCAGATGAGTTCCAGGATGCTGGCTTCAGCCTGGTCCCTCCCCAGCCACTGCAGCAAAATCAGCAGATGAAAGATCCTCCCCCCCCCCCCGCCCTCTCTCTCTCTCTCTCTCGTTTTCCCTCTCCCTCCCTCTTCCTCTTTCTTCCTCTCTCTTCTTCTCTTTCTCCCTCTCTTTGTGTTTCACTCTACCTTTCCAATAAATAAATATATAATTTAAAAAAAATTTTTAAATATTTTACTTAGTTGAGATGTAGAGTTATAGACAGAGAGGAAAGAGAGAGAGAGAGAGAGAGAGAGAATCTTCCATCTTCACTCCCCAAATGGCTGCAATGGCCAGAGCTGAACCCATCTGAAGCCAGGAGCCACGAGCTTCTTCTAGGTCTCCTACATGAGTGCAGGGACCCAAGCACTTGGGCCATCTTTCACCACTTTGCCAGGCCATTGGCAGGAAACTAGATTGGAAGTGGAGCAGCCAGGACTTGAACCAGCACCCTATATGGGACACTAGCACCACAGCCTGAGGCTCAGCCTACTATGCCACTGCACCAGCCCCCTTTTTTAAAACTTCAGTGCATCAAAGGATACAGTCAACAGAGTAAGAAAAATATTTGTAAATCATATGTCTAATATAGGGATAATATATATAATATAGAAACAATGCCTACAATTCAACAATAGCAATAAAAATAACCCAATTAAAACATGGGAAAGGACTTGAACATATGTTTCTTCAAAGATGATATGCAAATGACCAATAAACATAGGAAAAGATGCTCAACATGATTAATAACTAGAAAAATGAAAATCAAAACCACAATAAATCACCTTATACCCATTTAGGATGGCTACTATCAAAGATAAACACACACACACACATACACACACACACAGAGACATATAGACATACACACACTCCAATAGTGAGTGTTGGTGAAGATGTGGCAGAGTTGTAACACTTGTGCAGTTTCCAAAGCTGCTATGGCAGAACCCAAGCATCTCTGACTTGAAGCTCATGAATCTATTTTCCTAGATGACAGGGTTAAGTTCTGAAGTGATAGTGACTGCCTAAGTTGCAGCATAATGAGAATGTGAAAGTAAAAACCATCCTTCTCTCAGGAATCAGGAGCACTAAATCCAACTATCTAGCAGATCACAAGTGAACTTGGCTAATAAAATCAATTTAAATGAGGCAGAGAGCATCATACGTCTTCTTCCTTAGCCTACACACAGTCATCCTCACTGCACCTGCCCAAATAGTTTCAAGGGTACCTGATGGGTCCTTTCACCAACAGAACCAAATATACCCCCAAGAATCTTATTTTTCTTAGGAAACTAGATCTAAATATAGGATGAACCCCTCTTAGAGGTAAATCATAAAGAAACTTGTTCTTGTACAGTCAAGATCCTTTGAATGATCCAGTCTCTTTGCTTGAATAAGACTTTGTCCATTCTCAAACCTCCTTTTTAATGCAGTTCTTTGGCCTCTTAGTACATGTCAGACACTGTGATAGGGATATAATACAGATCAAAATCACAAATTCCCTGTTCTTGTGTTTACAGTTTCACTTTAGTTTCTCACCACCACATAAAGGGTGTGCTGGCGAATGTTTCAGAGTCAGCTCTCTGTGGAGAAAGAGAAGACTCTTATTTTTAGCTTTTGCCCATTTCTTTTGTATAAAAACTCCCACCACGACTGTTCTCAAGCTCTCAAGGTGATGTGACTGGACACCGAGTTGGCAAGAGATGTGCACAGTCACATCTTCTGAGACAGCCTACGCCACCTCCAGCTCACCACTGAAGATAACACAAGGTAGCTGTGAGACGCGTGCTGAAGCCAAGGAACCTGTGCTGCAAGAGACAGCACAAAGCAACCAGACTTGCCCTCCACGGTCACAGCAGGGTCTCTGAGGAGATCTGAAGTGTGAGTCAACATTCACCAGGCAAAGAGTAGGCAACGGAAGAGCACCCTGTGCAAACAATGTAGCCACGGAGCCTGGCTCACACACGTCTACCACAAGTGAGCCGCAACAGGAAAGCATCAGGTGAGGAGCTGGGGGTGGGTCTGCATCCTAACCTACTGCGCATGTCCCACTCCTCACTTTCCTACCACTGGCAGCGGCTAGAGAGTGCTTAAACCCAGGCGGCAAGATGCACTTGAAAGCCCTTGGGAGAGCATTCCTCCAAGTTGCTAGAGCGTGATCCTGCGGCCAGCAGCATTTGCATCCACTTGGTGGATGCCAGGGAACAAGACTCTGCATTTCCAGGCACCCGGCAGCCTTGCTCAGCTATTCTCAGTCACTGACACAGCTTTTCCCCCTAAAGTTTGAGATGTTTTTCCATATTAAACTTTTTAAAAATGAGGGGAAAAAATGGTACAAATTGAGAGAGGGAGGGAGAAGAGAACAGAAAATGATTGCACATTGAAATAAATGTGCTACTTGAGAAAATTATAAGTGCCTAAAAACAGGAGTTGATAATGAAAGTGCCTTCTCAAGCATAACTATAGCATCACTACTCCAATGCTAAAATACAATAAAGCGTCCTCCTGAATCTATGGAGCAGATTTAATAAGATGGGTGGTGCATTACATAAATGCCAACTGATTATTAAAGATCTTTGCACTGTGGATTTACAACTATGTCATCAAATAACTGAACAGTATTCAGGTGTAATAAGACCCATATGAGAAACTTAATTTAAAGTAATGCAAAGAACTAAAAACACTATTACAAACAGACCATGAAAACTTGGAAAATAGATAAGTGGAGAGGCAAAAAACATCCCATCAAATTATTGTCAATAGTAGGGGCTGATTCCATGAGGGAGGACAAAATATCATTTACATCTGCGTCAACTAAATAGCTATTCAAACGCGCTACAGCATGACAGAATGGCACACTAGGTATGTCAATGTGCCCTCCCCTAGGAGCCCAACATGCCTCCCCCTTTTTTTCTCTCTGGAAAGAAAATTGGCTTTTTAATGTGAATTTTCTGTAGTGGAGAAACCTTTGAGTTTCTTGGAAATTGGTTTTGCAAAGCAACGTGAGCTCCAAGAGCAAAGGGGTTCAGGGTCTGTACCCCTAAACCTAGGATGCAGGGGTAGAGAGGGATAAGAGGTGAGTGCCGAGGGGAGAGAAGGAAAAGACTCTGTGTAAGAGTCAGAAAAGTGAGTTCTTGGGCGGGGGGGCTTCTCTCTCTCTCACTGTGGGACCTGGAACCAGTTACTCCAAATGCTTAGGCCTTGGCAGTTTCCTCAAATACAAAACGAAAGGGTGAAGCCCCAAGATGTCTAAATGCCCAATGAGTACTGCATGGCTTTGTCCAAGTCTTGGGCCCACTGCTGACATTCCTGGGAGCATAAGAAACCCTTTGCAGGGTCATCAGATGTCCTCAGGGTGGAGGGAGCCTTCCAGGTTCATAATCGCACAGTCTTGGTTTCTAGGGTCTTGGTTTCTATGGTTCTTTGCGGTTCTTGAAGCCCTCTCGCTGTATCCCGCCCACCTCCTAGTTTAGTCAGCAAGGAAAGAGTTACTGTTTCCACCGCACAGATGAAGCCGCTGAACTCAGGACTGGTGAGGCTGCCTGCCCATGGGGGTCCTGGCTGAAGGTAAGGCCCAGGGCTCTCCACAACTCAGTGCCAACCTGGTGGGCGGTGGCACAAGTGCCCTATATACACATGCAGGACAAGCTGGGCACAAGAGTGTCCCCAGACAAGAAGCCCAAGCAGTGTGGCTCGGGGGAGACAAATGAGTTCACAGCGTTAGAGCCTGGCTGTCACTTGCCTTTGGCCCAAAACAAGCAAAGAAGATGTTGTAGAAAGGAAGCAATAAATGCCCCCTCCCCCAAAATTGGAAATACTGACAAATGATTCCATTTTTAGTCCAGATTTCAGACACCTTGTCCTTAGTCACAAGAGACATGTAATTGGTCCCTGAGATTCTAGCTCTTTCTTACGCCTTTGTTACTTGACGCTTTAGGCTAGGACATGCCATATCCCTTGTAAATCCCAACTGCTTTAGGACCTGTGGGTGACCCCCCAAGCTGCCATCCAGGAGCACTTGCTTCCCCTCCCAAAAGGTTTCCGTCGGAGAAAGAAATTCCCTTTAAAATCTACAAAGCCCTTCTTCAGCACCTGTAGGAAAGCAGTCATTTCAGCCAGGAAGGAAAGGGGGAGTGGAAAGCTACCAGAAGAAAATCAGGAGAGAGGGAAAATGGCTATTTCCACCGCACTCCATCCTTACTGTATTTCAGTGGCCAGGCTCACGGCGGCTCTGAGCTATAGAGGGACATCCGTCAGCCCTGATCAATACGTGCGGTGTTAGTCATGGATGATAAATTTGAAAGGGATTATAACTGTAAACAGTGATCAATAGAGACTTGCTAGAGGAGACAGAGAGGAAAAAACAACCTTAAAATGTTACACGGTTAATAAAGTAACGGGGGGAAGGGTCACTCTTAAAGAAAACTCGGAGAGCCCCACGGTGCTTCCCGACCCTTCTCTTCTGGGAGGCGGGACAGGAGGGGCAGAGGATGCGAAGGTGCCCCCCAGACTTTCTCACCAGACGACGGCGACTACAAGAGTGCCTGATTAATTGGTGGCACATTTGCCGATCCCTCTGCTTGGAAGGCACAGTCCCCATTAGCATGTGGTTGGAGATTTGTTTCTGGATCTGAGCTGGCATCCCTCACAGCCCCCAGAGTGCAGCTTGCCCTTTCCCCACGCCGCCTCCCTGCCCGGCTGGTGTCCTCTCCCCTCCTCTGACTTCACCGCAGGCACATGACGGAGCTGTGCGTTCACGCGCGTGACATCCCTCTCTACAAACAAATACATCCTGAATCCAAGCAGGAGGGGGAAAAATGCAGGCGCCTCCGCTGCTCACCCGCAGATGAATGCAACTATCCGTCTTGTCACCGGGGGTCGGTGGGAGAGGTTACTCCAAGTCTATACCTCAGCCGCTCTGCTGACGTTTGCAGGCAACTTCCTTCAAAATAAAACCAAATAAAGAGTGAAAAACAGAAGGCTGCCACGTCCAGCACTTAGCCGGTCCCTCCAGAACCCATCCCAGCTCGTGTCTTCTCACCACCTTTGGAGCCACAGCTCCGGGCCTGACACATACATTTTTTTCCTGCTGACCTCTTAGTGTCCTTTCTGCCAGAGTGTGTAAACCATAAGCTGATATATGAAGGCAATTTTTAGTGGTGCCACTTGTATCTGAGTGATTGCACACACTTTACGTTTCTGGCCTGCCGCCCCTTCCACCTTTCGAAGATCTCTCTATTTTCTTTTAAGGGAACTGCAACAAAGGTGAAAGCAAGTTTAACTGCTTCAAGACTTTGATGGCCAGAAGCACCTGTTTGGGGGATTCGCAACTGACCAGGGCCCATCTTCAAAGGTGGGATTTCTTTGCTGCTCTAGGGATCAGCCGGGCAGGACTGCTGGGGGTGAGGAGGTGACATCAAAGCCCCTGCCCTTGCCAAAGACTTAAAGGATACTGAGTCACTGTCTCCATAAATTCTAAGAGCCAGTCCCCAGGGGTATTCCATGGTGGGAGTGGAGGGGGTAGGCAGGTGGGTGTGGAGGAATGACTAGGTGTGTTGAGCCAGAGAAGGCAGCCCTACTGGAGACTCACAGAGTCCCCACACTCTATCACCCTGTCCTCTGAGCCCCTCAAAAGCCACAGCGGCTGCTTTTCACAGCTACGGGTTCAACTGCTAACCTGGATATGTTTGTCCCCTGGAAGGGGCACTAAAAACAGCCATAGCGTGCGGCAGCATTTACTCTCTCTTCCAAACTAGAATGGAGGAGGAGCAAAGCACAGCATCTCCCACCCACCAGCACCACGATTGTCTCACAGTAGCTTTCAGGGTAGCAGGGAGAGGATGGTGCTGCCAAGCGATGAGAACCACAAGCTCAAGGAGGAAGTGAGGAGAGGAACTGGACTGTGCTCAGTGGAGCTCAGTCTCCACGCGCCCACAGCAGGGATGTGTGAAGTCTGCCACGGGAAGGTGGCCCCTGAAGGACAAGCTGTAGGACCAGTCTCACCTCCTATAGCAAACTGCCCTTCCATTCCCAACCTTGCAAGTTCAGGATTCAAATACATCAGGTGACCCAGGGAGTCCCACCCACTGGAGCACGGTTCAAGAAGACTCAATGAGAATTCCCTTGACTGGCAGCAAGAGTGACCCATGGTCACCTCCACATGGTAGGCGCCATTGCCCCAAGAGACTAGGACCAGCCAGGCAGCCAGTGAAAGCGTCACTGAGAGACTTCTCTGGGCTTCTCCCATCAAGACCATATCCTTGCCAGTGTTTCTGAATTATTTGGGAAGAACTCACAAGTAATGTATAACTAACACTAAAGCTCTACGTTTTTTTTAAAGGAATTTTAACATGTTTAAATAAATTCTCATTCAACTTTTCCACTCAGTGTATTTAAGTGCAAGTAAGAAAGACAGCAAGGAGACACCACGAGTGGGAGATACCACCTCTGAAGAACATCTCCCACGTGCCGCTGGCTGCAGGACAGGGCTGCTGATGTGCACGGGGCCCCGTGACAAGTGTAAATTACTGTGATACTGCAGCTCCCCGCAGGATCCTCAGGGAGATGCTCAGAATTTGGACATGTGTTCAGGAGTGCTTTGAGGATGTAAAAATCATTCATGCTAAGCGTGCAACTGAGAACGAGATAAGTTACGGACTGGCCACTGAGCAGAGCAGTGAGGAAAAAATGGAGGGCCACACAAATAATCAGCAGGCAAATGTCTCATGGCAGACCTTGGGGAGGGAAGAGCTAGCTCAAAGTCAACCTATCCAGGCTGCTCTCGCCTGCATCCCCAAAGCAGAGAGCTGGAAAGACCACAGCCAGCCACGGAGGGGAACCATGGCCGCCTCCTACTTCCAGGCCAAATCCTCTTGACTGAAGATTCCAGTCCAGGGGGCTAATGGGGACTTGGCCAGTGGCATCTGACTCTGCCAACCACCAAGAACTCCAGGGCCATGGAGGTGCTGCTGAGAGCTCCAGCTTAGGCAACTTCCCTTTCAAACCAGTGGGATGAGCTTTGAGAGGTACTCTGGTGGGGACCCAGGGGATGGCACTGGTGACAGCCCCAGGCTTGGGTTTTGGGCATAACTGCAGTGTGAGAACAAGGACTAGCCCTGCCGTAGGCCTCAGCATTTTGGGGAGCAAGAATCCTTCTGTATCAGCTACAGAGCTTGGACACCTAGACATATGTGCTAAAGAAACAGGAGCCCGGTGCTACCCTCAGTCCAGAGCTATCCATTACTCTTCCATACCACAGGTCACTTATTAGGTGACCTGCGTTATCTTTGCCTTTCTCAAACATAGTGAGTGGGACTCGAGATTTGGTTGGGAATAACCAAATTAAGGCTCAAAATCATTTTGGACTATCAAGGATGCTCTGCTGTCCATATAGTGGCCAAAAGCAAAGGTCACAACTGAGAAAGAAGCAGTGATGGCATTTTAGAAGATGGACTAGTGGACAAAGTGTGTGAAAATTAGGTGAGGAGGCAGACAGTGACATGTTTCTGCCGTTCCCACCCTCCTGTCTTCAGCAAAGGGGTGGTTCACACTCACTCTTGACTGTGTGGTAAATGTGAAGAGTTTTCCCTAACCCAGTTCTTCACAGGCAGCTGGGATAAGGACAGAAGAACTGCTCATAGAAGGGCTGTCCCCTGAGAAACACAGAGAGGAGACCTTGTCCCCACTGGCACAGGGGAAGGTGCCCATCCCACTGCTACCTGAGGTAGGGATGACAGTGAGGATCCTGGAGGTTTGTTCTGGGCGCTTGCTCAGGTCACATGAAAGAAGCTGATGTCAGAAAAGCTTTTTGTCCCTGAAGCAAAATCTCTAAAGGAACCACCCAGCAAAGCCCTTTTACTCCACTCTGCAGTCATTCATTCATGGCAATGACATGGATGGTAGTTGGGGTGTTGAAGTTCTCCCACAGGCCCATGTGTTAAAGGCTTGGTCCCCAGGGTAATGGTACTGAGGGATGGTGATGTAATGAACTTTTAGGAGGCAGGGCTTAGCGGGAGGTCCTGAGGTCATTGGAGGCATGCCCATGCAAGAGCGTTGTTATAGAAGCCTGAGTTTGAGCCCAACTTTCTCTCTCTCTCTGCTCCCTGGATCACCATGTGGTCCTTCCTCTACACTCTCTGACATCCCATCTGCTGCCCTCAGCAGAGGCCAAACTAATAGGATCATGAAATCCTGGACTTGTATCCGAAACTGTGAGATAAATATACTGGTTTTCTTTGCTAGTTGTCTCTGGCATTTTGTTATACTAATACAAAGGCTGATTAATATATTTATCATTCATTCATGAATTATATATTCAGTCCCTGCTGTACAAAGGGCACCATGCTAAAGGATACACATGGAAGGGTAAAAATAAACATGGTCTGCACCCCATGGAGTTGACAGGCTCACCAGGAAGCTAGATAGTGAGCACATAAAGAAATGTGAAATTACTACTGTGTATCGCATGCGAGGAGCCACAGTGCCAAAAGAGCTTACAGTAAGGGAACATAATTGAGTTAGCAGGACAAGAAGATTTCCTGAAGAGAGAATGGAGAGTTGAGGTTGAGAAGATGTAACCTAGTGAGAAGGAGTCGGGGAAGAATTCTAGAGAGTTAGACCAGCGCATCTATTGTCCCCATCAGAGATACGCATAGCTAGGGTGTTGGTGCAGCTGGAGGGCAGAAAGCAAGAGGAGAAGTGAGGCTGGGCTTGAGAGATGGGCTAGTTCCTGATCATGCAGTAACAAGAAGGCTGAAGCTTGGGATCTCCACCTTAAAGGTGATGGGAAGCCACTGCAGGGTTTTCAGCTGGTAAAGGAAGTAGCAGACTCAGAGTGGCAACTCAAAAACATCATCCTGGATGTGAGTGAAGCATGAATTCAAGTAAGACAAGAGGCTGTTGTCAGCTCCAGTAAAATTATGGTGTTGTGGACAAGAGTATTCAGATAAAGATGGTGCTAAGTAGACTGATCCAAGTTATTTGAGTGGGAAGTCAACAGATCTGGGTGATGGACTGATTGAGAAAGAATAAGGAGATGGAGGTAACAGGGATGACTTGTTATCGTTCTTAGCCTTTTGGATAAGATCATGGGGAGGATAGCCTGCAGCTTTCTGGCCACTGTGTGTAAATCATGCTCCTGGAAAACAGAATACGAAACTCCTCTGCCACAGATACATGAGTTCCTTTGGGATAAGAGAAACACTGTTGCTGGAGAAGCAAGGGAAAGAAGTAGAACATCCTGGGGATCTGTAAGGTACACCTTCTCAATGATGGTCAGAACACCCATGCACAGCATGTTCTTCCTCCGTGTGTGTCGCTGGTGCACAAAGCAGGTTCCCCAAGTTGAGGGGGAAGGAGAACCAGAGTCCGCTTCCACCAGGACTATCTTTGTTAAGTTCCCTGGCCTTTCTGTTCTTAGCTGGAGGATGTTAAACCAGATCCATGATTTCTTGGAGAAGCTTCTTGGCCACTGGGGTTTTGTACCCCAAGAAACACAAACACCTACCTCATCCTCCTGTGCATCTCCAAGTGATCAAATCCCATTTCTCTTTTTCATACGCTTGTCTGTTTGATTGGCTCTTATAGAAGGAGTGGATTTCCTTTGGAGGAGAGAGAGGTTTCCCAACAGCAACAACAAAAGAGTCGAAATATACCTGCTTCAAGACAGGCTTTGGATCTGAATTCTATTTTCGTGTTATAAATAGACAAGATGGTGAAATTCTAGAAGCAGAATCTCCCTGATGCTGGCCCCCACCATAAGCAGTGAAAACAAACACCTTCAAGTTCAAGACCAATGTCATGCATCATTCTCCCTAGAGATAGGAGTGGAGATGAAAACTCCCTTCCAGCTCTTCTTTCCATGACACTTATTTGCCACCAATTTTTACTCTTCTGGTTTCCCTCATGCCTTTAACAAGGCCCAAAGTGAGGCAAAAAAGGAAACTGCTGAGATGAACTAGAGATTTCTCTCTCCTTCCCTGCCCCCATGGGCTGCCTCTCCTGCCTCTCTTGTGTTTGGAAGAAAGGTTTCATTGCTTGAGCAACCAGGAGCTCAGAGTACCTCTTGATTGATGCTGTCAGTTAAATGAAGAGCTCTTGCGGCAGGAATTGTCTTTTCTTCATTAAGTTTGAAAACATGCCCACGGCTAGTCTGTGATCAGCTCATCAGTAAATGGAAATTTACTGATAGACGAAAATTCATGCCAGGGTTCAGTTTCCTGCCCCAAATAAGAAGTCCGAAAATTCCCCTATTGTCATTCCCTGCAGCCTAAGACCTGAGAGGAGAGGGAGGAAGGGAGATTATGGGTTGGTCATCAATGTCCGCACAGCCTCCAATCTGAAGGCTAGAAACATGTTTTCTACAACACAGAGGTCTACCATCTCTGACTCGTTCAGGGACCTCCCTGGAGAACTGGCCCCGGAGGAGGGAATGCTGGCCAAGTCCTGTTCACAGGGCCAGTGACTCAGCCATGCGGGATCTCCTAACACAGCCAACAGGGGCTTCAGGAGGGCTCAAGAATGGTAACAAATTCATTTACCAAGATTCTCAAACGTGTGTGTAGACAGGCCACAGGACTAGAAGCAGGCAACAGGTGATAGCTCAAAAACTTGGGTCCCTGCTACCTATGTGGGAGATATAGATTGGATTTCTAGCTTCTGGCTTTGGCTTAGCCCAGCCCCAGATATTGTAGGCATTTAGAAAGTGAATCAGTATATGGGAGATACCTATCTATCTCTCTCAAAGAAATTAAAAAATAGATTAAAAGATGTCTCTGTACTACCACTGGTGAATAGAGTTGGGCTAAAAATAAGACTGATGTGTTTGACAAAAGAAGAAAGGAGAAAAGTGGAGCCTGGCATAGATTTTTTTTAAAGATGCATTTATTTGTTTGAGAGGCAGAGAGGAGAGAGGAGAGAGGGAGAGAGAGAGAGAGAGAGAGAGAGAGAGAGTTGTCCATCTGCTTGTTCACTCCCCAAATGGCCGCAATGGCCAGAGCTGGATAGATTCAAAGCCAGGAGCCAGGAGCTTCTTCCAGGTCTCCCACATGGATACAGGGATCCAAGGACTTGGGCCATCTTCCACTGCTTTCCCAGGCCATAGCAGAGAGCTGGATTGGAAGTGGAGCAGCTGGGGCTTGAACCTAGGCCCATGTGGTAAGCTGGTACTACAGGTGGTGGCTTTACCTGCTGTGCCACAGCACAGGCTCCCTGACATAGATTTTTAAGCATCTGTAGAATTCCTCCCATATATTCCTTTGTTTTGGTCCACCATTTGTTTTAAACTACTCAGCTGGCATGGTGGCTTAGTGGGTTAAACTACCACCTGCAACACCAACATCTCATATGGGTTCTGGTTTGGGTCCTGGATGCTCCACTTTCGATCCAGCTCCCTGCTGGTATGCCTGAGAGGGCAGCAGAGGACCCCTGTGGGAGATCCAGAGGAAGCTACCAGCTTTGGCCTGGCCCAGCCCCAGACATTGTGGCCATCTGAGGATTGAACCAGAGGATGGTTCTCTGTCATAAACCACTCTCTGACGATCACCTCTGTGCTCTCATTCCCATGGTTATTTGCTCATCTCCGAGGCCAAGATGCAATTGCCATGAGCCCCTGGTATCCATTTGCTAACACAGGTGTCTCAAGCCCACCATGACAGGAGTTTAAGAGCCAACATACAATTCCTTTATTTTATCATGAACATGGATACACAGATTTTTTTTTTTTAGCTTGGAGTTACCAAGGCATACATTTGACCAAATAGGCTTAGCAATTCAGTCAACAATAACAAAAAATTCCTTTGACTACGACCTTGTCTAAATATGATCAGAGTCGGAGAACTCAAAAGGCTTCCATAGCCTTGGCAACTCATGACAAGAGCCTAGGGTGATTACTGAGGCCATAAACAAGAGTGTCAATTTGTTAAGTCAACAACAGGAGTCACTCTGCACTTACTCCTCATGTAGGATCTCTGTCTTTAATGTGTTGTACATTGTGATTTAATGCTATAACTAGAACTCAAGCAGTATTTTTCACTTTGTGTTTCTATGTGGGTGCAAACTGTTGAAATCTTTACTTAATATATGCTAAACTGATCTTCTGTATATAAAGAGAATTGAAAATGAATCTTGATATGAATGGAAGGGGGGAGGGAGAGGGAAAGGGGAGGGTTGCGGGTGGGATGAAAGTTATGGGGGGGGAGCCATTGTAACCCATAAGCTGTACTTTGGAAATTTATATTCATTAAATAAAAGTAAAAAAATAACAAAAAATTCATAAGCTGATTGGATGAATAATTATAGAAGTCCTATTGGTTGCCGTACATTTTTATAGGTTCAAACAAAAATTATACATAATCACCCCTGTCTTTCTCTTCTTGCCTTTTTCTCTTTCAAATAAAATAAATACCATATTTTAGAAGAGAAGAGAGAAGGAAGGAAAATAACTTCTCAGAAAATCCAATCAGGAAGTCCCTTAATCTGCCTTAAGAAATAAAATTAAAAGAGTCCTACTTTCTATCATCAGAATCAAAGGAGACAAAAAATAAAAACAGTTTGAAAAAAGAGCAAGCATCAAAATTGCCATCAAGCCAACAGGCATCAGCTTAAGAGCTCTAACCTGCAGGTTTTCAACAATTAACTTTTAAAGTGATTGTTCACCAATCCACCTTGATTTCCTTACATGGGGCAATGTCAATATTGGCAGGCATTACTTAAAATCCCAGCTGTGCAGAGATAAAGCCATCAACATTGGGCGCCTGGGCCACAGGGTGAGGACAGGGGAGGAAGCTTTTGTCACATTGTTTGGCTCATGATTTTCATTTTCTTGTGCTGTTTTCATCTCATTGCCAAGCTTTGCTCTTTTTCTTGCCAAGTAGCATTACTTTCCACTGAACTGGAGAAATTCCCTCTGAAGCCACGTGCAGAAGTACCCACAGCAGCTCAACAGGCATCAGTGACCAGCCACACTGTAGCCCTGAACACCCCACCACTGTCCTCCCTGTGTCCTCCTGTCTAGGAATTTTAGATTTCTACTGATTCCATTCAGACAAAATTCTATGATAGAGTTTTGTAAACATTGTTTCCATCATTCTATGCAAGTTTTGAGCCCATCTTTGTTCATATACTCTTTTACTACATCTGCACGTAGATAGAAGAGAAATAATGACAAAAGCCTTAACAGGCACCATGGAGAGCATCCTTCTAAGATCAGAAGTCAGGACAAGTCCACCTTGTGAGATAAAGCTTGACATGCACCTGAAAAGATAAGTAGAACTTAGCAGGTGAAAAACTCGTAGAGCAAGAGAAGGACAGCTTCCAGACAAAAGAAGAATCGTGTTTAAAGACCAGGGGGCAGAGAAGCAGAACACGATGCATTTGAGGAATAATCATAGTAATAAATAATGCCAATAGAACACTCACTGTATACCAGACACTGTGGCTAGCTTCACAGATAATATTTCATTTAATGTTCATAACAACTCCAGGAAGTATGTATTATTATTATCACTTAGATATGGCTCTAGGGAAGCTAATTTCCTAAGATCAAGCAACAATTTAGAAGGATTTGAACTGTAAGTTCTGCTTTCAGAATCCATCTACTGCTACTGTGGCAGACAGTGGGAAAGATAACAGGTGCACAGGAGCCTTGCATGCATACTAAGGAGTTTGGCCATTACTCAACAGCCATCATGGATGTTGGCTGAAATTAAGCTCCCCTCAGCACCGCAAAAAAAATTAGAGAAAAGGCACCAATTTTTTTTATTATACAGGATGTAGCAGACTTCTCTTCTAGCCAAGATTGAATCAAAGGAATTGAATTTACTCTCCTGCCTGAAACAACTAAACAACAGAAAACATCTGAGATAAACATGTTTTCAAAACATTGGTCATCTCAAGTTAGGGATCCCTGAGAGATGGGAAACAAATGAGCTAATCCTTAGGATTGCTCCAATTTTCTGCCTACAGAGAGTACGTGGTGCAAAGAGGGGCACCCACATAGAGCCCAGTGGTCTCCCTGAATTGAGTAAGTGGAACTGATTGCACTGGAGACAGCTGGAGTTTTCAAGGCAAGGTATTGGAGAGGGGGCAGGTACACACAGAGAGACTCTCCAGAGGGCTAAGGAAGACAGTCCTTGAGTTGCAAATGATCAAGAATGGGAGGGAACTAACCAAGCCTAGAGATGGAGTTGGAAAGGACCATTCAAAAGAATTACAAGGAAAAGGAAATAGACCTCTTCCAGAAGTATGAAAACCTCATAATTGTAAATGAAAGGTTTTGCCTCAGTAGTGGGGAAAATTAACCCTAAACTAAACTGCTCTGATTCTGCCTAATAAAGCATAGAAACAAACCTGTATAGTTTTCAGAATATTTCCAAGTAATTTAACAATGTCCCAGAACAATGTTCAAGAATATTTATAAGAGCGTTAAAATATGTAATATCCAACCAGGTAAAAATCATAATACCTACTATCCAATTGAAAATGGTCCAGCAGGCAAAGAAGTAGAAAAATATGATCATAATAAGAAAACTCAATAAACTGAAATTTATCTAGAATTGACACAGATGATAGAATTAGTAGACAAGAACGTTAAAAGTGCTATTAAAATGTTATTCCATGTATTCAAGGTAAAAAGGTACTTGAGCATGTTAATGGAGTAATGAGAAATATTTTTTAAAGACCCAAATTAAACTTCTGAGGATTGAAAAACTACAATGTCAGAACAGGTGTTGAGCCCAGTGGAAAATACCTGCATCCTTTGGGGCAAATATTGTGGTATAACAGGATAAGACACAGCTCGAGACACATGCCTAGCATATCAGAGTTCTGGCTTAAGGCCTGGCTACTCCACTTCTTATTGAGCTTCCAGTTAATGAATCCTGGGAAGTAGCATATGATGGCTCAAATGCTTGGGCCACTGCCACCCATGTGGGAAATCCAGATGGACTTCCAGGCTCCTGACTTCAGCCAGGTCCAGCCACTGCTTTTGAGAACATTTGAGGAGTGAATGAGCAGATGGAAGACCACATTGTCTCTTCTTCACTTGCTCTCACTCTCTCACTCTGCCTTTTATATAGATGAAAATAAATAATTTTTAAATCATTTTTAAAAATGTCTTTATCCCACAGTGGAATGCTCAGGTTCAACTCCCAGCTCCAGCTGCCCTCCACGACAGACCCTGGGAGGCAGCAATGACAGCTCAACAAATTGGATACCTGCCAAGGAGACCTCAGTTGAGTTTCCAGCTCCTGGTTTCGGCCCCAACCCATTCCTAACTGTTGCAGGTATTCGGGGAGTGAGCCAATAGAGGGGAGTTTACAAGCTCTCTCTTATAAAAATTTTTAAAACCTGAAATGTCTGAGATGAAACATATACTGGATCACATTAGGAGCAGAATAAAATGTTAGTAAATTTGGAACACAGGAATAGAAACTGCAAAATAGGAAAAAATGAACAGAGAATCTATGAGGTATGAGATAACTATAAAAACCCTAATATTGATATTGTTAGGTCTCTGAAAGAACGACAAAGATAATATTTGAAGAAACACTGGCTGAATTTTTTTCCAAATTTGGTGAAAATTATAAACTACAGATTCAAGAAGTTCAACAAACTCTAACACAAGAAACCCAATGAAGACTCACTAAGGCACATCATACTCAAATTTCTTAAAACCCATTGATAAAAAGAAAATATTTAAGGAAGCCAGAGGGAAAATAGATTACATATAAGACTGCAAAAATAATAATGGAGGCAATTTTTTCTTTGGAAGTCGTATAAGCTAGAACACAACAGAAAGGCACCACAATAGCACTGAATGGAGGGACATTGTCAACATGGGATTCTTTACCCTGTGAAAAAACTGCTTCCAAAAATAAAGGCAAAACTAAAAACTTTTCCCAAACATATGAAAGCCTAAATAATGCATGATCAATATGTCTGCATTACAAGAAATACTAAAGGAAATACTTCAAGCAAAAGGAAAATGATCATAGATGTAAATCTACAGTCCACAAAGAAATGAGGAACACTGGAAAGGACTACTAAATGAGAGAACACAGATTCACCCTATTGTTTAAATTACTGCAGAGACAACGGACTATTTAAAACAAAATACTTTAAACTTGTTTTGAGTTTTACACTATACATAAAAGTGATGTAGCACAAAGGCCGGGAGAGGAGAAAAGCAAGTCCACTATGTGAAGTGCATGGACTACACATACAGCAGTATAACATCACTTGATGACAGACGTGATAAGTTACTATCTGTACCATAATCTGGGCAGAGCTTCATGTTCACAAGAGAGCAAACATGGAGAAAGCCCATTTGGAGCAGAAAACCACACGATGTAGCCCAGGTTCATGGTGAGGTGAATGCAGTGTACAATATAGTACAGATGTTTTCCCCACACCCTTCCTTTGTCCACCTGACTCCCAAGAGGAGCAGTTTACTGGATTTCGTAGTGGTAGGCTACACACAAAATGGAACCCGTGGGATGGCACCCTTTTAGCATTAGGCCATCATTCCTCTAGTTTGTCTTTTCTCTCTGATCAAAATAACATAATTTGTAATTTCATTGTATAAATTACACTTACATTGTACAATTTAAAGCTGATTACATGCTCCTGAAAGTTCTATTGTATTTCTTATAATTTCAAGTTTCCTCCCTTTGGGAAAGTGTGGGACAGGAAGACTTGGCATATCTTAAGGAAGTGAAATGACTAGAAGGCATTTTGGGGACATCTTTGTTATTTGACTGATTTCAACAGACCAGATCATACAATGAGTGACAGAAAATCTTGATTTCAGCCTCATTCTGATGCTGTTGTGTTTTTTTTTTTTTTTTTAATGCCAAA